AAAACGTTTAGTACTTGAGCAAACCGAGTTCGGTCCCGCCAATACCGATGAACCTTCTTAATTGCAATTTTTTTTGTTGATTGCACGTGCTCGGCAGTGAAGGAAATACGTATTGCGCAAAAGCTTGCGCAAATCAGAAAATAAAAAAATACTTTAATTGCGTAAAAGATGCGAACGTGAATTGGGGAAACACGGTTGTCTGTACTCTGATTCAAACAAAACCTTCTCAGAAATGAGTGGAGACGTGTGCCCAGCATTATGACGTTTTTAGCGCTTTAATAATCGAATGCACTTCATTTAAATAGAATAAGGGCATCAACTTTGCTGTGTCTACCTACATGTATATACTCGTACGTGCATGTTGGCAAATTAAATACGCATAGGCGCTTGTATCTATATTTTCAATCAAGAATCAAAATTTAGACGAGTAAGTTCCTTTGGGATTGAGGTAGAATGCCATGTATCAATAATAATAGTCACGGACTCTCTACACTTACCATACAAAACACAGCAGCATTAAGTTGCTATTGTACACGCTTGTATTTTGTGAGAACGTGGTCCTACCCCGGTCAAGCCTACCCACTCCTGTTGCAGCTATAATATAGCTACATTGTGGCTCTAGCAAGTAAAAACCTTCATCACAATTATCGCAAATAATTTAAAAAAAAAAACAGATATATTGGAAACAAATCTAATTTTTCAAATAAAAGTTATAATAAACACATTCCTAAGCAAAAATCAATCTACATAGATGTAGTGGAATATATAGTTTTTATTTTTATTATTAGTTCGAGCAAAACAAACAGGTCATGGCAGAAAGCCCAACTTTGTTTAATATCTCTGGCATCTTTGATGGAAAGCACATCTCCTTGTATTTGGTTGAGACCAATCTTGGCAGTCTCAAGCAAAGACACAGAGTAGCCAGCCTCTCGGTATTCTATTGGAAGCACTTTAGAAAGTGTGCACAGGAATTATATACCTCAATTCCTTCCTTCCCTAACCACCATCGAGCAATTTGGCACCTCTCTGTTGTCCATATTCCACGCATTGGAACTAAACGTTATGCTTTGAATTTTGTAATGCGTACAGCAAAGGAGTGATTAAATCTCCCAGCGTTCATCTTTTCCATCCAATAACGATATGGTGTCTTCAAGACAAAAGTGATAGTCTTTTGTTTCGCTAAGACAGAGTTAGTGACCGTCCAGGGCATTATCACCACTTACCACCAAGTTGGATTATAATCAAGCCATCACTTTTATTAAGTAAACAAATAACATTTCTCGTGAATAAAAACCGTGTCAGAAAAATCTCTAATGACATGTTTAGTGACTATTGATAAATTTAAGCGGAGACTTCGCTTTAACAACTCAATTCGTTTGCAGGTGCTTGTTAAAACGCTTAAGCGTCCTTAAATAAGGGATAATAAAATCATAGTTTCAATGTAAATGACTTCTTACTCTAAGAGCCCAAGGATGAATAAATATTAAATGCAAGCGTTACCCTGAAAAGATTCGTAATTTTACTATCCAATCGTTACAACGTAGATGTAATCAAAAAAAAAAAAAAACAACAAACAAATACTGGTGATGCGTCATAAAGGCGACAATATCTTTAAAAAATTAAAAAAAATATTAAGAACAAGATTGACAATTTATTTAACACCAATCGATACGTGGTAGAGCCATGCTGGAGCTATAGCAGTAGTATAGTTGTTGCACGAATGGGTCGGCCCGACCGGGGAAGTACCACGCTCTCACAGAATACCAGCGTGAAATAACAGCTCAATGCTGCTGTGTTTCGTATGGTGAGTGTAGAGAACTGGAGACCCATTTTACTGGTAACGAGGCATTCCATCTTAGTCCTCACGGGTGACAACAAAATTTTGATTCGTTATCGAGGATAGGTGTAGGTGTCTATGGACCACAGCAACCACTTACCATCAGGTGGACTGTGTCCTGGTTCGTCACCGTTATGCTATAAAAAAATCGTGTCTAACGTCGTTAAACAAACTAAGAGATGGGCATCATCGTCTTCAAAGTAACAACTATAAAAGACGAAATTTTGGAATTATTACAAAACGTGGCATGAAACCCAACGGCAGGAATTTGTCTCTGGAAAAGACATAGTCCTGTCAGCCTGTATTCTAGGTATTGGAGACTGTAACGAAATCAAAAGCAGCCAAATTCCATATATGATACAAATATTAGTCTGAGATTACTATCATTAAGGGGATAGAGTAAGTCAGCTCAAATTCTAAATTCTTAATTCCCCTCTTGCCCGCGCGTCATATGCTATGTACCGACATGTTTGTAATCACTAATACTGCAAGTAGAAAGGTCGTTAGACACTTATTTCATTAGGTTTATCATATTTATGCCTGTTTCTTAACGCCAAGCCAGTCGCTTCTTATTTTTATTACGGTTATTTCCCATTTTAATTTTAAGTCGTCCTGTTGCGTAATGTATATTCTGATCGTAAGCGACACAACCTCCCCGTTCAAAGGCCGAAGCGAAGTGACCGTGCGGCAGGAACCACGCTTCAAGAGGCCGACAGTTTAGGTAATTTCTTTTTACAGTGAAAACAATGGTATTTAAAAAAAGTAAATAACATAAGCACTGCTTTATAGTTAGTTCAGTTAGTATGCAAAGTTTCATGATCTTATTTAAAGTATTTTATGAATAACAGCGGTTTATTGTTAATTTTGGAGGTAACTTTGGATTTTTTTTCTATCGAGAAAATTTTACGAAATCGTGTTTTCGCCTAACATAATCCTTAACATTAATCCTCAACTTTACCATATATTTATTTCAAAATTAATGCTACAATATTTTCGGCATAACGAAGGATCTTGCTAAGCCATTTGAGATTATATTTCCCCTTAACACTTGTTCTTTAAATTTTATCTACATAATTTATTAGGTTGATTTTCATTTCTAGCTAAGTATCTATGTTAGTAATTTTTTAATGTTCCGGTGTCGTTAAACACTGCTGTATATAGGCCTCCCCATAGATGGGGGGATATCTGCCATAGTTGCCACGCTTGGCAAGCGGGTTGGCAACCGCAGTTTTTATTTTTAGTCGTTATTTGAAAGCCACTGCTGCCCATCTGCCGATTTGTTTCCCTCTGTCGGCTCTTGCAACGCCTTGGGGATGATATAGGGTAGTGGATATTCGTGTTCATTTGATAATAAATTTAAATATATTACAGTAAAGGATATACAGTCCAAGTTAGAAATCTAGTAAATAGGAAAAAATTAATGCGGAATTTGTGATAATTAAGTGTTTTTCCGGGGGGTGGTGTTTTTTTATTATATTTTTTTTTTTTTTTTTTTTTGTTTCTTCGCCTTTGTGGTTTTTTTTAGTCAGCACTGCTTTATAGTTTCAGTAGAGCAAATTTTTTTTTTGGTTTTTTGCTTTTCTTAATAATTCTTTTTTTCAATTTTCTTAAAAATATCGTGGCAAAGAGGCCAACAAAAATTTATCGTAGATAAAAGGGACCGCTGAATGGTTGATGGCTATGCTCATGATACGCGTGAATTATTCTATTGTGACATCACAAACTACATATCAATTGTTATTTATTTAGAATTTCATAACACTTTGCCTTTAGTGGAATTAGCTAATTTATAAATTATCAAACATAAGATCTCCATCAATAGGTTATCAGGCGATGTAAATGTTTCTAATATTATTAATTAATGTTCTTGGAACAAATGACAGACAATATACGTGTTGCATTATACGTTTCATAATGGCTTTGTAGATTCAGGTAGATATTTATTTATTTTTAAAAAGAAATTGCAGTGGCTGAACTAAATGGCGCCAGTATGAGTTGACTACATAGTTGTGTTATGTCCTGTAGAGACTATCGGTTTACGGGATCCACGTGCCGTGAAGTTCCTAATGGAACCCGCAACTTGTCGTCGCCGCATAAGTATAACTATTCAGCGAAGAAACGAAGACAGCTGTATTGTCACTATACCGCGAGGAGTAGGACTGTATGAGAATTTAATTTTTTTTATAAGTATTGTAATAAATATTGTAACTTTCAAAGTTATCTAAAAGAAATAGAAAATATTCGAACAGAATAAAAATAAACTAGTTAATATTCCCGCCAAACAGTTGTGAGCGTGTGCGTGTGCATGCACGTGCGCGTGCACGTGAACGTAAGTGCGTGTGTGTGTGTGTGTGTGTGTGTGTGTGTGTGTGTGTGTGTGTGTGTGTGTAATGTGTGTGTGTGTGTCTATGCGTTGTTTACAACGGTAGTCGGATGGCGGATTCAAACCCACGACTTTTTAAATTTTGCATTCCATTCCAATGCTGTAAAAGGTCTCTGTGTTGTGTGTGTTCTCCGTGCCCGCCACGTTTAAGTGCGCATCGGGGCGGGGCGTTCAGCGTGAATGACAACCGCACCGCTACGTTAGGGTTTTTCCGTTCATTTTCCACGTATAGGCTATTCCCTTGAACGAATTAACCTCGTTCAAGGCTAAAAAAATATCCCTTAAAAAAATATTTTGGTACTTAATTGTCTTAAACGAATTTCGATTTTCGCAATTTCTTATACAAAAATAGCTGGTACACGGCGCGTTACTGACGCAGAAGAAGTAACTATGGAAATATTATTTTAAATTTGGAAGAGTTATATTGTTCAATTAGGAATGATAATACATTTACTGAAATTAAATGATATAATTATAACTTTCAAATAGATTTATCGATACGAATCGCACGCCGCCTACTGTAAGTTAATCGTACTATGCTTTTAACCTTTGCGTAAGTGCAAGCAATAGGTTGACAAAGTTTTAGTGCAATCTGATGAACGGTATGGCAGCGCATAAAATACGAACAAACAAACATTAATGATAATTAAATTGACGTTGGTAGGCTGAGGTGCCTCTCGTCTAATATATCTTATTAGTATAAAATTGTAATACGTTATTTAAGACATAGAATTTTTATTCCATATACAGTGCAACGTAAAATGAAATTGAAACACTTACCCGGCAAAGAGCTACGCCTGTGTCAAGTCGGTCGAGGAAGTTTTCAGCCGTAATCCTTAGCTCTGGATACAGTTGTGTGAGCCACTCCGCCAGATCCTCTTTCATTGCATATAAGTACTCCTCGGAGGACTTGAAGGGCCTGAAAGGCCGCGTCTCCAGAAGTAACGCGCCTGCACACGCCATGGCTGCGACTGAATCTCTTTTTGCCTTCAGTTGGACATTACGGGCTCTGTAAAAAAAACTTTCATGAGATCTTCGACAATTTTAATGTTTTATTTATTACGTTAATAACTTTGTTAGGCATTTGTTTAACCTCTGGATGCAGCTCTGCATCTGCTTTGGATTAGGTTTGGGTTATACCCTCGGGCCTAACCCGAGGGTATAACCCAAACCTAATCCAAAATCTTGGAAAGTGTTTTTACCCGACTGCTCCAGTAAAATGGTAATGTTTTTAGAGTGTATAGATTCTTCCGGGTCTGTAAACTTGTCGGTGTGCTATTTGTGTATGTAAAATGTTTCCACAATACAGGAAAATCTCTAACTCCAATTTTATATTTCATTCCTAAAAAGTAAGGTTTTTAAAGGCAAAAAAATTACTTTTTAAAGGAAGAAAATATTAAAATTCATAACCTCATATACATAAATACAAAAGATTGATTAATACAATTCTAACAATTCGAAAACAAAATAACTAAAAATATGCAACAAAGTTTTCGAATGTGAGTGTGATAATAAAAAGATTAAAATTATTTTTATAAAACAATATTTAATATTTTATTCGAGGCAATTATTGATACATAAATAAATAAAACTAATAATCCTCCTAGAAATACTAAAAATAAAATATAAGAAAATCAATATGTATTAATTAATATACCGGATAATATACAAATTAGTAAAGTTTGAAGTAAAATAAATAATCCTAGATAGAGGATGATTAGAAAAATATATCATAATAGAGAATATTATAATTAATAGAGATAAGAATATTTTTAAGATTTCAAAGAATAGTTTGTAAAAAATAATAATTTTTGAGATTATTGATAAAGAATTTCTTTTTCTTTGAAGTTTTTAAAGTAATACACTTGTTTTTTATTTACAAGACCAATGTTTTAATTTTAAATTATACAAACAAACGATAATTTTAAATATAACCTAGTTGTCGACATTTCTTATAGAAGTGACAAACTAGCACACAGTCAACCTGGTGGCAAGTGGACACCATATCCCATACACATAGACATCTAGGTATCATCGGTTAAAAATCAAAATGCACACGCATTGTCACTACTAGGACTAAGAAATGCCTCTTCCGTCAAGATTACTGGATGTAAAAAGAGTCTCAGGTTCACGAGACTCACCATACGGAGATGGGCAGCATCTCATGATTTAGTTTTCTCCTGTCGCCTCTTACGACGCACACGGAATGATATGGGGTCGTGGATTCTATTCGCCGTTACTACACGACCTCATGGCGTCATCTCTTGTGTGGTATGGGACAAATTTCAAAATGTTGACTTAGTGGATTTTCCCTTAGTACCTATTCATGTTTGTTGCTTTTCTTTTTATGACATAAGGTGATTATCGAGCAAATAAAGAAGAATATGAAGATGATGTCTTAGCCTTGGCTGCAATAAATCTTTAATTAACCATATACCTTCATGATATTGAATCAATTACGTTGCTTTGAACTATTCACTTGATCCCATTACTTGTTACGATTTCGTTAATTAAGACGATTCAAGATTCCTTACGTTAGGAGTCTAGACTATGTAAAAAACCCATGGCGAAATCGCGATAGAGCGTCAAGTGAAATAAATCGGTCAATTGCCTTAACGCGCGTTTTACAGAGTCTATAAGTTATACAGCAAGCCGCAATATTTGGGATTTTGTAACTACATCGTGATTAGCATCAAATATATCGTTTACCATTCTTTGTAAGCGGACTTCACAAAAAGAGGGATTCGATCATAGAATACTATAACATACAATATAATGGCTGTAAACCTTATTTTGTACGAGGATAGGTGTCGCCGGGAGCACAAATACAAGCAATTACGTAGTATTATCACTACTACAAACCTGATTCGCTGCTTTGACAGACAGATTTTAATACATATTTTTTTGTAAATAGCGTCCAATTTGGCATTTTCTAAATAGTTTGCATGCGAAATTTGGAAACGATTGTAACGTCAAAACACATCTCGTGTTGACAGATATACGTGTGAGTTGACGTGTTAGTGACAATGTGGTACGTAATTATAGTATTCTATGGATTCGGGTGTAGGTCCTTTTTCTTTTTTGGATTTATGTTACTCGATTTCTTCGTCAGTTGTGGGTGTTCTTTAATGATTATTTTTCGTTAAATAGGTTCTGTAAATCCAATACTGGAAAATATACAAAATCCTTAATTATCCACAATACATCAAGCGGCCAGTTTGTGGAGTCTATTTGATATTCTCGCGCTGGAGATTTTTTAATATAGAATATTGGTCAAAACGCAGATGTGTTGTCATCCCTGAGAACTAAGATGGAACGCCTCGTTTCCATTAAAACAGCATCTGTGGTCTACACTCACCAAACGAATTACAGCTGTATTAAGCTGCTATTTTACGCTTGTATTCTGCGAGAGGAGATGCTATTCCTCACCACCAGTTGTTCGTGTTTTCGAAAGGATGCTCCATCACATTCTAAATTTAAAAATGTCGATGATGCAGATATATTCATCAAAGAAAAAAAAATGTAATTGACGTAAAGCATAAACAAACAAACTTGTATTGAAAAATCACTTTTAATTAATGCTCAAAATACTAGCAATAGTTTAGTCCTTGGTCTACAAAATGAAGCAATGTGATCTGATGTGACATTTATTTCTATTAAATGGAGAGAATACTCTATTAAGATCAATTAACATAGTAATTTGTAATTGAAAACTAGTATATAGTTGCTAGACCTCATTGCTGCTTTCTTTGACAGTTCTTTTTTTAATTTATACTTACGACTGTTATAATTTGGTGAACCGAAATGGTGGTGGTATTTTTTATAACGATTTCTCATATTTACAAAAAAACATTGAATGAAACTATTTGTACGGATTTTATCACGTTTAATTAACTTCTTTTTAATTCTTGACGTTTCGGGTGCTTTACAGCATCAGGTCACGTTGGGGACTGAGATGTTTGACGTCCCAATGTCATAGTTAGAACACTATGGGTGCGTTTGGCAGAAAAAAGCGCTAGCAAGCGCTTGTAATCAAAATGGCGATCGTAAGCGGTAAGCGCTGTCAAATCGTAAGTAGCTATTTTCCTCTAGGACACGATGTTATTTTTAACCGGGGAACCTAACCTAATTTAAATATATGTTTGTGAAGTATTCATATTAAAAACTTACCAATCATGAATTTTTAATAACACGTATATGTCTATTCATGTCATTATATTACTTAAAACTAATATTGCACAAAACAACTTATAAACTCTACTTCAAAACAAACAAATTAAATAAGCAAAATGGCGGATTGTGTCAGCGCTACTGAAGTAGCAATCGTGTCCTGGCCGAAAACTATTTTAGGGCTTGTAAGCGCTTGCTAGCGCTTTTTTCTGCCAAACGCACCCAATGACATTGGGACATCAGACACTTGTAAAGCACCCGAAACATCGGGAATTAAAATAAGATAATTAAACGCGATAAGATCCGCATAAATAGTTTTATGCAATTTATTATTGGTGATTGTTTTATTCTAATTTTATAACTATTAAATCACCGACCGGTTTCGCTCCACGGCATCAACCTTTTTTTTTTAGTTTGGTTATACTACGGCGATATTCTCCGTTTAAGCATTAGTCATGCCTCAAGAAGTCTAGGGATGCGAAACCCGAATCACGTCAAATTCAGTTATCGATTTATTCCGTCAAGAAATTCTCAATAGCCATATGGAGCCACAAACTGCATCTTATTTCTCTCCAGTTGAAGAGAGTGAGAGAATAAAAAGTGCACCTGTGCTTGCTCACACTTGTGCACTTTAATCCTGTCCTGCATTAATGGCTAGAGCCGTGGTAGCTCAGATGGTTAGCGCTCGCTGTGAATTTCACAATACGCGAGCAAACCGGGTTCGATCCCCGTCGGCACCAATGAAATTGTTAATTGCAATTTTAAGTGCTGATTTACCACGTGCTCGGCGGTGAAGGAAAACATCGTGAGGAAACCTGCATGTCTGAGAAATAAGAAAAAAAATATTTCGAAGACATGTGAAGTTCGCTAACACGCATTGGGACAGCGCTGCGGACTATTCCTTGCCCTAAAACCCTCTCAGAAATGAGAGGCCTGTGCCCAGCAGTGGGGCGTATATAGGCTGTAACTTTACTTTACTTTACTTTTACTAATGGTTAGTCTCCATGGAGACTTGACGCTTTGATCAAGATTCGGCCTTAAGGATATTATTATTAAGCTCCAACGTGGTTCTACACATAAGTTCTTCGTCTTTATACAACACCACCACACATAAGGACCACACAACAAATGCTATTCAATTATACCCTATTGTAGTTTAACAGTAACATGAGGAAAAATTGCACATTTTTATAAATAACTTTAAAGCAAAAATCATCGCCGGCAGTTTTTTTTATTGATTGAATCCAAATTAATATCAATCAATTCTGTATTTTGTTTAATCGAACGATGCGTGTAAAATTACTTGGATACCATTAACAAAAACTACGCGTTAAGGTCAACATCCTCGCGACTTATATTGTTTACGTAGCCACTCACCGACAAGTTTATAAAGAAACAGGACTTAGTGTGCCGCCAAAATCATATGTTTGCTTAGTCTTAATACTTCCCCGGTGACGACCAAAACACGTGGCGCTGGTTGATCGTCATTTATGTTTTACAATTTGTTTATTGAAAATAGCGAATAAGCTAATATAAATAAAAGTTTTTGTTCCTTTAAATAAATCTTTATTTCTTTTAATTAATTAAAATGTTTACCGTGCAGTGTTGGTGTAGGAATATCCACTGTCCCATATCATCCCGTGGGTGTCGTAAGAGGCGACACAGGGAAACAAATCAGGAGATAGAGAGCAGCGTCTTCCTAATAAAAACTCAAAATAGAAAACTGGGGTTGCCAACCCGCTTGCCAAACGTGGCGTCTGTGGCAAATATTCCCCCAATGAAGCAATCTATGG